GGGGAGGTGGTGGGGGATGAGGCTGGGCGGGGGGCCCCCCCATGGTCCCCTCCCCCCTCCTCCACCTCTCCTACCCCTTACTTACTGGCACAGAGCCTGGGTCTATCTCCCTGAGGTGGCGAGCGGGGATGGCCCAAATCGATTCAGAGGCTTCCAATTTGATTTGGACCTTTGAACAGGTCTCCCAGTTCAATTCAGATTCGGAGATTAAGCCCCTGAATCAGGCTGAATCTCCTCCAAATCAAATTGGCTGCTGAAGTTTCACACAGCCCTACTGGTTTCCCAGGACAAGTGTTGATACCCCAGCTACTTAAGCATATCTTTTCCTCGAGCTCTAACTTTCTGGGCACCGGTTTACAGTTTACTTCCCCCAGAAACACACCGATACTTAAAGTACATAGGTTGCTTGCAGATATTAAACAAACAAACAAAAAAAGCAGTGCTTTACTTTAAACTCGTCACTCTCCTGCATGGAGCCCAGCGCATGCCCAGAAGAGGCAGCGTGTTAGTTGTCTGTATAGATTGGGTGCTTTAGTGGGGCTTTTTTGGCATTTTTATTTAATAGCTCATTGAGTCAGTTTTAGCTAAAAGCACCAAAAGATCCCCACTGAAGCACCCACTGTATACAGGCACTGTGGAGCCAGGTCAAAGTAACGTACTGCTGCTTCCTATAAAACACATTTTGTTTTTGTGTTTGTGTGTTTTTAACATCTGCAAGCAGCCTTAACACACGGATCTTGCCAAAGGGACTATAAAACAAATATTCTTTCTTTAGGCAGCACAAAAGATAGATACAGATTTGAGGCAAAGCAATAAAATGCCTATATGCTTTTCCCTGCTCCTACTGAATCATTCTTTGGATTTAAGATGGAGTTTTCTAGGATGTCAGGGATCCTCCCCTTTCTTCTTGATTTCTGCTTCTGCTGTCTAAACAGCTGGTAAGAGTATCCTTCTTTTCCAATTGCAGTCTCCATTGTCTCATGACTCCTCCTCATAGACTTTTAGGAAGTCTATGATAGCCTTATTTTTATGAAAATTATAGCACTATTTTCTATATGGACATGATCTGCATTTCCAAATTCTTTCAGCTACTGGGAAGGTCTTTCTGATAAGTAATAAAAGGATTTGGGCTTACTGTTTCCAATGGATAACACACACAAAATTGTGCAAGTCTGTGGAATCTCCATACTGGATACTAAAGAATAAGCAATATATAATGCTGAGGTCACAGTTGCAAATCTAGAAACATAAGTGTTAAGATGTCTAGGTTAAGACCCTAAAGTATCGCTCAACTCTACCACCACTTTCTTTGCTTTCTCTCTAAACAATCCAACCCCACTGGATTGTCCTGGGAGCCGGACCAGCCGGGCCAGAAATCGGGGTTTGTTAAGCAAAACGGGATCGGTTGGGCAGGCGTGTGGATGGAGAGGCAGGACGGTTTAATGGTTTCAAAGAGATTTTACTTACGCCCTTAGATGGTTCTGGCGTAGGTGAATGAAGCTTGCTTGTTACAGAAAATGAGGCGAACGTAGAATACAAATAACTCAACAGGTAACAGGAACGACAATCGAATGGAGGAATGGACGAGTTCGCAACGCAACGAGCTAGCAATCGGGATAGGGTACGTCAGATATTTTTCGGTGACGGGGAGACGTTGAAAGATGATCAGTCTCTCAACGAACCTCTAAAGGTGATCTCTCAGATCTCTGAGCAGTCGCAGAGGTCTCCGCCTTGGGCGGAAACTGGGTAACCTTATATATGGCTAGCGGGCCAATAGCTAACCATCTTTACAGAATAATTTACATCCGGCCAATAATGTTGCACATATTTACATAATAAGGCAGAACTTTCCTTACTATTATAAAGACCTAGCATTAGGTGCTAACTTCTAGAACCTTCCACCGAAGTACTCGGAAATATGACATAGGGTACGCCCATATCAGGTGGCCCAAACAAAAAAGGGGGAGGGGGGTAAAACAGCTCGCTCGGCCCATTGTGGCAGGAGCATTTAACTCTGTTGGGGACTTATTTATGACATGGATTTGGCAAGACCAAAAGCCATTTTACCTATGTATTCCCAACCTCCAAAAAAAAAAAATCTGTAGAGCCAAAACTGATTAAATGCCACTACATTTTCCATCTTTGAATAAACTGAAAAGTATTGGTTGTTTGTGGCTGACTCAGTAGTGATGGTGTAAACTAAGGATATTTTTTGCAGAGGGAAGTAGTGTAGCATGGAGGAAAAATCACATTCTAGAGGGGCTTTGGTCATTCTGGTAGTTATGTTTGGAAAATTTCCTTCTTGTTTGATTGTCTCTCTAACTTGGATAGATCAGATGGTACTTGTCTTCCTCACCCCTTGAGATATGTAAATTTAGTAAGTTGACAACTGATTTATTATGTTGTTGTTGGTTTTAGGTGAGGGGGGGAAGGGAGCAGGTAATAAGAAAAAAATATTTGCCTACTATTGTTTTTACATCTTTTCTTTCTATCAGAATTCTCAGTGTTTGTTTGTTTGTTTGTTTGTTTGTTTCTGAGGGCACCACAGTCTCAAACTAGTCCATAAGGAACCATTTTTGCTTCTGTATCTTCTTATGTTTAGTCTCCACAGTCCTTCCTGCTCCATAGAGCAAAAATGAGAAAACTCTTGTATGAGATACTTTTATTTGAACTAAGCTGATTTGGTGCATGAGCTC